AAAAAAAAAAATTCATCGTCCCCCCCCCCCCCCCCCCCCAAAAAAAAAAAACTCTTCGAGGCACTCCCGTTTTGATGATGAGCCAGCCAGGGAGCGTTGCTGGAACCTCGTGCGCCTCGGCCTGAGCCGGATCAGCAGGCATAGATCTTCCCGATGTTTCCACCCCAGTACAGAATGGGGCGGACGCAGTCAGTATTTTTGCCAAAAACGGAGTGGAAAATGGGAGCAGGCGAGGCAATCGACGGGACAAGGCAGTCGACCCCCCCTCGCCCACCCACCAGTTCTCCCGAAGTGCAATCCCACATGCCGTTCAAAAGCGTCCAGCCAAAGATGCTCTGTCCCTGCTGCCGGAAGAGAACAGGTGTGGTGAAGGAGGGCTTAGTGTTGCCAGTGTGATAGATGGGAAAGTGAGTGACAAAAGGGAGAGAGAGCGAGATTGTTCGCAGGGCGACAGGGAAACAGACGGGGTCAATCCCCTCGCTGTCCAAAAGCAACGCAATAGGTGCAAAAAAATCGTAGTGAAGTAGAACGACAAAATGTTCGAGACAGATCAAAAAATAGTTACGAGATCCTCGTGCATGAACGAGCCAACCCGGGAGCGAATCTGGGAACCTTCCACTGACCTCCATCGGACGGACGCGCCCAACCGGCTTGCCAACAGAGCATGCGCTTGGGGACACAAAAGGAGGGCTCATATTGAGCAAGTAGTCTGGTGCAAGAAGGCAGAGGGATCGCAGTCGGCAGGAAATGGGTGTCGACCCCCCTCGCCCTTACCACTCCTCCCAAAGTGCCTTCGAAGCCGTAGATGCTGCTTTCAATGTGAATACTGCAGAATCCATCTATGTGGTAAAGTGCAGCTAGGGTTGTGGGGTGGAAACCGGTAGAGGGCTCGGGCTCGGGCGAGTCGACGGGGAAAAAACGGGGCAGCAGCACGTCGCAGCGGAAGGCGAGTTAAACCACGATCGACATCGTTGCAGACAGAAGGCGAGGAAAGACAACACCGATACCTCAAAAACAGCACGGTAGGACGTAGACGAAGTCCACGAGCTTGCCAGGGAGGGAACCTGGGACCACCCGCTAGCTCATTGGCCAAGGCCGATCGGAGGTAGAAAGCGGTGGAAACCGGGAGAGGACAAGGGCGAGGGCGAGCCGACGGGAAAGAAACGGGGCCAATAGCCCGTCGCAGCGGAAGGCGAGCTTAAACATGATCGATATGGACGCCGTTGCAGGGGGAAGGCGAGGTAAAACCAGATCAATACCTCAAAAATAGGAGGGTGTGAAGCAGTGAACGATCCAGCCAGGGAGCAAACCTGTGACTGTCCACTGGCTCATTGACCAAGGCCAATCGGAGGCCGACGGCATATCTGCATTGCAAACGTTTGTGCCAAGAGCGAGACACCATGTGAGCGACGGGCAAAGAACCCACTGCTCCTCCCAAAGTGCTGTCCCAGATGCAAGGGCGGCGAGGGAAGGAGCAGGGATGCAGCCAGCGGGTCGGACTTGAAAATGGGAGGAGGGCGAGACGGCCAAGGAAAAAAAAAAAAGCACCCCCACCCAACGCAAAACAGGGTCGTGGGTGGCGACAAAAACAAGACAACTGGATTGGAGCACGCAAAAGCCAGCTAGGGGAACCCGACACCTTCCGCTGGCTCATCGTCCGACGACAAATCGGATGCGGACGTCGTTATCCACTGCATGCGCCCAAAGCTCTCATTCAACAAATGGAAAGAGGGTTAAACGAAAGAAGAATGGGAGAAAGGGCGAGACGGTTCTTGATCTACGGGCATGTGCTCTCAAAGCAGTCAGGAACGGGCCTTTCGTGAAGGAGGGTATGGTTTGTGGAGGAGAACAGAAAAGTTGGAAGAGGGTGAGAGGGAGGGGCGTGAGGCTTCACGGTCGACGGTAAACAAGGATAACCCCTCGCCGCATGAAGGCAAGGGGGAAAGGGGAGCGAGGACGTTTCGTGGTGTCGATGGAGACAAAATGACAACCCCTAGAACCGTTCAAGTGCGACAAAAAAAGGAATGGACTCAAGGAAGTACTTATGATCCAGGGATCGACCCTGGACTTTTTTCGCTCACTCTCGGACCGGTGCCCCAACTCGGGGGCGCAGGTCGTGATGCTTTAGACGACTGTGCGAACTTACAAGGCGGGCATTGATCAAGCAAGTGAGTCTAGCGCAAACAAAGTGGGAAAATGGGAAGAGTGCAATGGTGGTTTCTGTGATGGGAAAAAGGTTGTCGGCCTCCCACTCACTCCTCCAGAAGAGGTCAAGCCACATATCACAGTTCAAGTGCGACACAAAACGAATTCACGCCAGTGTATCTCCAACACGAGCCAGCCAAGGATCGACCCTGGTTTCGCTCACTCACCAACCGGCGCCCCCAAATCGGAGGCGGAAGTCGTGATGCGTTGGAGCGGGCGAGATGGGTGATGATCGACAGGAAATGGTTGTTGACCCCCCTCGCCCCATCCTAAATGCTGTTTTCAATGCCGAAGCGGCGGAAAGAGACCGGGGCTCGTGTGGTGAAACACACGATGGGAGGACGGTTCCGTGTTGATGGAGACAAAGTAATGCTGTTTAAGGTCAACTATCGTCATTCGTCAAACGAGCCAGTCGACCCTGGAACACCCACACACACACTCACTCCTCCACTAAACGTCAATCCACAGCTGCTGTTTTTCAATCCCCTGCAGCTGATGAAAAAGAAGGTTGGAGAAAAAAAGGGACGACGCCCCTAGCCGCGACAAAACACGAGCGCGCTAAAGCCTCACGAATCAGGGGGGTGGATCAAATGAAAGGCCACCCACCAAAGAGCAATCCCAGATGACTTTCAAGCCGATCCAATTCCTTGCTGGGGCAGATGAGGGCTCAGGAAGAACACGTAGAGATCGCTAGAAAGGCTTGGGAAGAAGGTGTAACGAATAAGCAACTCAGGAGAAGAAATTGGACGATACAACAAACTTACGAGCCAGCCAGGGATCGAACCTGGGACCTTCCGCTCACTCATCAGCCGAGGCTGAATCGGAGGCGGACGTCGTAATCCACTAGACCACAAGCCCGTGCCCAGTGTGCAATTTCGGATATATAACCTGCTTCGTTGGCAAGATGCCCAACATCTTGTCCCAATTCGTCCCAACACTTCGACCGATATTTTTTGGGCAAGCAACTTCAACACTGGAGCGCACCGACGAGGAATATGGAAGAAGCAAACGAGATCGTCAAGATTCCTAAACCTCCCCCTTAATTCCCAACTCCAGCAGGCCAGCAGTAAATATTACGAAAAAAAAACCCCAACAAACCCACACCCCCACCTAATAAACAAACCCCGCCAACCTCGCAACCCTCCTCATCTCCCTCTCCCAAACCCCATAAGGACTAAACACATCCTCGCTCCAAGGATCATCAAAATGGACGACCCTCCCCCACCGCACGCCCTCCCCCGGAGCCACACACTCCCTCAAGCTCCGCGTATTGTCGATCAGGTACTGCAGTCCAGCGGGGGACACGTCTGCTTCGGCCATGTCGAGACGTTCGAGGCGCGGACAGAGGGTGGGGACGGAGTGGAGGGTTGAGTCGGTGAGTTGGGCGCAGCCGGAGAGACCGAGGGAGGTTAGGTTAGGCGCGTCCGCGAGGGCACAGGGATCGCAGGGCGAGAAGTAGAATCCGCTGGCGCTTGAGGCTCGCTTCGCGAGGGGCGCTAGCGCTTAAAGCTCGCCTCGGGAGAAGCGCTCGCTACGTTCGCCATCAGCCACGGTCGCGCTACCCCAAGAACACGGCAGCGACCTCCAGCTTTCCAGCAGTTTCAACATACAGTTTTAGGAACCTTCGTGAGTGTCTCGATTTCGTTCAAGGTCCTGAACTTTGAGAGGTAGTTGTCGAACTGCTGAACGCGGGGGCGGAATTGGTCCATTGTTGTGATGGTGCGGTTGTGGGATGGGAGAGAAGACCTGAAGGCTCAGTGTTCCAAAACTTTGACGGGCCAGCAGTTGACCAACATGGCATTGCTTACGTACATTCACGCGCCGCAGCCGCGCCACAGTGGTGCGGCCTGCCGGTCTCTCGCCCGCCTCTTCCATCTTTCCCCTTTCCTCTTGCTTGGTGGGCGGCAACACAGTCCTCCTCGAGGGATCTCCTCACCCCATCCTTCCCCTCCAGCGACGGTCGCTGGAAACTCGTCGGGGTCAAACGCCAGAAATCGCCTCGCAATCTGTGCGGAAACCGGGGCTGGACGCCGACAGAACCAAGTTACTTTGTACTTGCAGTTGGCGACAACGCGGCGGGGAGCTCGGCGGCCGACATTCTCTTTGAAAGCAAGGCGCCAGGACGCAGGGCAAGCAAGAGAACCTTTTCCAGGCTCGCCGCGTGAAACAGTTGACGTCCTTGTGAAGCCCAGAGGCTGGAACACGACCCAGTCACGGACACTCCGAGCGCCCCTCACCCCATCCAAAGCACGAGGCAGGTGCTTCTTCACTTGACGGTGTGAAGTGCTGCAAGAGCGGGAGGGAGCCCGGAGCGGGAGGGGCCGTTGAACAAGTGAGCTGCTTGCCGGACGTGTTGGCCCGTCAAATGATTCATGATGAAAATAATCTCGGCTCAAAGCTCGCCGTCCTCTCATCCTTCTATCATCCACCCTCAAAGATCTTCTATCCTCCCCCGCCCCGCCACTGCTCTTTTGACTGCGTACTTGATTGGGCCTGCCCACAAAGCTCTTCTTGAACCCCTTCGCCTCCGCTGCACGCCTCAAACCCTGCATCCTGGCCTTTGCTCCCGCAACCCTGCTCCCTTGGGACCCTGCGAGGGACGAAGAGCAAGACCCCGCTGCCTCCCCTAAATGGTAAAAGTCAACGTGACCTCCCTTCGAACGGGCGGAGTCTCTTCCTCTCTCCTCCGGCTGCCCAACTGGGACCTCCTTGGGTTAACCAGCTCTTCGCCGCGTCCGATCTCGAACTGAACACCTTCTCTTGTCTTTTCTTTTCTACTCTAGCTCTGCGTATTGCCCAAAGCGTTTCTCTCCAAATCCAGGTCTGCACCACCACTGGGAGGACGCGGAGTACCTCGCAGACGGAATGGACCACGACCTGCCGTTGGAACTGCCACAGGTGGAGGCGGCCCATGACCCTGCCTTCGAACCTGCGGACGACCTGGAGGGGGAGGAGGTGGTAGGCCTTGAAGCGGACCTGGACATGGATGGAGATCGCGAGCCGGGGGATGGCTCGACGCGGTTCTTCCAGTCGATCTTGGAACTGTGTTCGCAGGGCTTCTCGTCCGTTGATCCCTCCCTGCACACCCCCGAGGTGCGCCGCGCCATGCTCGCCTGCCAACTCGGGCTCGATTGCATCGCAGCGCTGGCGACCGACACCGAGCAGCGCGACGCCGCCGCGCGCGTCGAACTGCTCGCTGCCGATGGGCGCCAGCACAACCACCGGCCCCGCGCCCGCCCCCGCACCGTGATCCCCCCACTGCCATCCGAGATCCTGCTCCGCATCTTCGGCTTCGTCAACGACCCCTCGACCCCACCCACCCGCGTGCTCAGCACCCTCTTCTCATGCTCGCTCGTCGCGCGAAGCTGGAACCGCCCCGCGAACGCGGTTCTCTGGAAACGGGTGAATTTCGCAGATCAGCCCTCGCGGTTCGGGCGGTTCGTGCTGGGCGCCGCGACGAGCAAGTACTACAAACGCAACTGCAGCGTGCTCGTCCGCGTGCTCAGCGTCGCGTGCACCGACGCCGACCTGTCGCTTCTCAGCGTCGCCTGCCACCACACAACTGAGATCCACTCGCTCGAATTGCGAAGAACCCGGAACCAGGATCTCATGTCCCACCGCGTGCTCCGTCAGCTCCCGAACCGATTCCCCTCGCTTCGCTCCTTCGTCGCAGACATGATCCAGCCGTCCGCGTGGCCGGACATCATCCGCATCTGCCAGACCTGCCCGCTCCTCAGCAATCTCCACATCAGCTTCGCAGCAGGCGACAACCCCGACTCAGTCGTCCGGCCCCCACTCGAAGACTTCGAAGCCCTCTTCTCACGCATCCCCTTCCTCCAATCCCTCTCCCTCTGGCGCGTCCCGCTCCCAGAAGACGAAGACGCCCTCGTCTCCCCCCTCGCATTCCACTGCCGAAACCTCCGCGCAATCCGAATCGACGACTGCGGTACCCACCTCACCATGGGCCTCGTCGCCGACATCTGGAACTGCTGCCGCCAACTCCAATGCATCACGCTCCGCATGATCCGCAGACCGCCGCGGCACTACCCAGTCCACCTCGAACCCCTCCCAACGCTCCGCACCCTCCTCGTCGACGGATGCTGGCTCTCGGACGACTTTTTAGCCGCCATGGGCCGCTCAGCGCCCCTCCTCGAAACACTCTACGTCGAGAACGATTGGCGCGATATCGACGGGGAAGTCGGCAGCGTCGTGCACATCACCGATGCGAGCGTTATTGCGCTGTCGCATCATTTGAGGTCGCTCAAGACTTTGTCGCTCGTTGGGCTTACTGGCCCGCCGCATTTGTCTGCGAGGAGCATTAGGGCTGTGTTGGCGAGGAATAGGACGGTTACGGCGCTGAATTTGGCGAGGCCTGCGCATGCTGTTGTGTGTATGGGGGATGAGCTGTTGTTGTCGATTGCGCCGTGCTTTGCGAGGGTTAGGGCGTTGGAGCTTTATATGCAGGTATGGGTTGGATGCGAAGGGCGGAGGGGGGGTAGGGGCGGCGGGGGCGCGGGTTGTATAAAGAAGAGAAGTCCCGAAATCGGAGAAAAATAAACCTAAGCCCCCCCCCCCCCCCCCCCCCCCCCCCCCCCCCCCCCCCCCCACCCCCCCCCCC